TGGGTAAATGCGGGGTCCTAGCATGCCACAGAGCTTAGAGACCTTTCTCAAAGCTCCCTCTTTTCTATACTGAAGCAGACCACATCCCCAAGGCAGCTACTCAGCTGCTCATGGCAGATTCTACCGCAGAGTTGATTAGAGGCACGTGGGGAATCACTCCATCCAGCTGCCCAGCCACTCAGAACCAGGCCCAGCCAAGTGGACCCATGACTTTAACTCGCAGAGTTATGAACGTCTTAGTTCTTGGTTGTGGACAGAAGTTATGAAATTCACAGTCTTCCTCCACCATATTCATGTTTCCAACATTTATCTTCCATCCAGACACTTTGGGAGCTTAATTTTCAAACCTTTTGCGTTGACGCGTTTGGCTTTTCCTGGAAGGAGATCGTGCTGTCTGCTGGTGACAGTCATGATGTTTCCCCCTGGATCCTGAAATCTCTTATTTCTGTTTCTGATCGATCCTCTTAGAACGTTCTCACGCCGTCTCTGTCGTTGGTGGTTAATCACGGGGCTGTGGGCTGAGCCCACCAGGAGCAGGGTGGTGACGAGGCCGGAGAGGTGGTCTGCACTCCGGACGTGAACGTTGGTCTGGGACCGTGGCTTCTCACGCTTGTCTCAGGATGATCAACAGTTCATCCCTGTCTCTCCCCAGTCTGACCCAGCTGGTTATCAGTGAACGGAAAGTGTGGGGATGCTATAGGCTCCACGTGGGGCTGTGGCTCCCAGATGACCCTTGTGTGGTTTGTCTCCTGTCAGTCAGACCCTGGGACGAAGACCCAGACCCACACCCATTGACCCCATTGGGGTGAGCTGTCTCCCCAACCACCATCTCTGCCTGAGTCTGGTCTAGGAGGAAAGAGAAGAGCTTCATCCAGACAAGCAGGGATGGGGATGGGAGGAAGCCCACTGTGCCCGCCCTGAGCCTGGAGACCCGGCCCAGTTTCTGAGCCCAACCCTGGTGCTGATGCCCAGCGTTGGGGGGCTGGCTGGTCCTGTGCAGACACCAAGCTGGTTGTCAAACTCAGCCCTGGTGGAACCCCAGGGTCCTTGCTGCCACCTGCGTGGGGTGAGAGTGCAGAGCCGGTCCACCTGCCCAGGCTCTAGTCCTGAGAAGTGAACAGGGTCAGAGTTGAAGCTTTTCTGGGCCCCTGGTTGTGGGGTTGTAGGAACAGGGAGACATTGGGGATTTCTGAGATTCCCACCGTCCTCACTAAGCTTCCTGCTTTCCAGGCTCAGGAATATCTGGGGCTGGAGGAGAGTTTCTGGTCCATGAGGAGAGCTCAGGGTTGGCTCCTCCAGGCCATGGCTCAAACCCCAGACCCTCTGTCCTTTCCCAGGATGGGAGGGGCCTGTGAGGAGAGAGGGGGAAGGGCATGCCATGGCTTGACCCCACCTCACCCAGGACTTGTCTCCAATGCCCCCATTCTGGCCATGCCCTAGTCTGTTTGTGGTCTTCACTGCATCTTATTTGTCCATGTGTGTGCTGTCCATCTCCCTACTGACCTGCCCAGCACCCAGCTTTCTGCTGGGCTCAGAGAAGACAGTCCAAGTTCTTACTGGACAAGTCACACATCAGTCACCATTGGTCCCACTGAAGGAGAAGCCCCGCCCCCTCCCACACCTCTTCCTGAAGGGGGCTGGATCCCTCGGCCCACTTCCTGGGCCAGAGGATAAAGGTGCCTTGAGAGGGGTCCAGGGCACAGAGCTGCAGGTCCCTGTGGAGGTGAGGATGCTGCCCACTTACTCCCAGCCCTCTCCATCCCAGACCCTGGGGTGGGGACCAGTCTCCTCACCCAGCCCTCCCCTCCACTCTCCCTGTAGATGCTGTGGGTGCTGTTGCTGACCCTCCCCTACATGGGGGGCTCTGTGCCTGTGACCCCAGGCGAGTGCTGATCCTTTCCAATGCCCGCCCTGTCCCTGGTCTCTGGAGAAGCCCTGGGGAGGGGTGGGGACCCATATAATGATGGCTCTGCTCACTCCTGAGCTTGGGGAGGGTCTGAGCAGAGGAAGCTGAGTGGAGCTGTGGGCAGGGAGGCCTGGCTCCCAATGACTCCTCACTCTGCCTTCCCAGCTCCCAGCCCAGAAATTGAGCTTGTGGGCATCGTGGGAGGACATGATGCCCCCGCCAGGAAGTGGCCATGGCAGGTCAGCCTGTGGATCCACAACCCAGAAAATGAGTGGATGCTTGAATGTGGGGGCTCCCTCATCCACCGCCAGTGGGTGCTGACCGCCGCCCACTGTGTTAAAAAGTGAGTGATTCTCCTTCCCCTGGTTTGTTGACAATGCTGAGGGTGCTGTCGTGCGTTGTGGAGTTTCCTGGGTGGGGAGGCTGCAGTCCTGGGGGATTCACCCTCCTAGACACCCCCTCCATTCTGGGCTCCGAGAGGCCAGCCCCCTCCTGCTCTGTGAGGATCCACGTGCTGCCTCAGCCTCTGAGAAGTTTCCGGTCTTCTCTTCCCCACCAGGGGAAGACTGGAGCCTCGGCACTTCGGGGTCCAAGTGGGACAAGTGAAACCCTCTGAGAGTGACGTTCTTCAGAAGGTGACTGAGGTCATCGTCCACCCCAACTACAATCCTATGCTGAAAGGAGAAGGTGGAGGAGACGTGGCACTTCTCAAACTGGCAGCTCCCGTGATGCTGTCTGATCGAGTCAACGTGGTCGCCCTCTCTCATCCGGAACTCAGGGTCCCTGCAGGCATGATGTGCTGGGTGACCGGCTGGGGTGACATCAGATTTGATGGTAAGGGTCAGGATGATGGGTGGACAGGACACTGGAGGAGGGGGAACACAGTGGGCAGCTGCACAGGGTTATCAATGAGGCCTCAACTTCCTGGGATCTGTGAGGGTGGGGAAGGCTGGGCCATGGGGTTGGTGGCCCCAGGGGACACGGTTAAGGCACAGAGATGAGATACAGTGAGAGGGGAGCTCTGTTGTTACTCTGAGCCCTTCTGGGTCCCCTGTTCTCCCTGCATCTTGAGGGGTGAGGATGGGAAACGGGGGACCAAGGGTTGTGCTCACGGTCTGCACTTGTCAGTGGACCGAGTCCACTCAGCGTTTCAGGTGGGAAAACACCTGCTCTGATTTTCCTAGTCAAAATTCTTGAGCATTAAGAAGGCTCCACCTTGGTCTCTCCTAAGCCTGCTGCCCACAGCCTCAGCCCAGACAGCACCAGCCCACGGGCACAGAGTGAACATGAAGGGTGGGTTGTGTGTCACCCAGGGCACATGAGGGGGACTGAGGCTTCGCTTGTGACTCAAGAACCCAAAACCTGGGCCTCCCAGTTGCAGACTCAGCCTTTGCCCTTGAGCATCTGGGGACATTGCAAGTGTCACTGAATGGACCAGGTTAGTGAGGGAGGGCACAAACCCCCTCATCCTGTGCCCCCAGGCTCACTCAGCTTCTCCCCACAGTGCCCCTGCCCACGCCCTACCATCTGCAGGAGGTGGAGGTACCCATAGTGGAGGATGCCGTGTGTAGGCGGCAATATGGCAAGGTCAATAAGGTCATCAAGGAAGACATGCTGTGTGCTGGGAGCCCAGGCCGGGACTCTTGCCAGGTGAGACCCCCCGTCCTGTCATCTGTCCATGTCCCCTGCTTGCTGACCCTGCTCCAAACCGTCAGAGGCCCTGATGCTCATCATCTGCTCTTTCCCTCCACAGGGAGACTCTGGGGGCCCCCTGGTCTGTAACTTGAGGGGCACCTGGCTCCAGGTAGGGGTGGTGAGTTGGGGCCAACGCTGTGGTCTTCAAGGATTCCCTGGAGTCTATGCCCGAGTGACCTTCTACTCCAAATGGATCCACCACCATATCTCTTCATCTCCTTGAGCTCTAGGCAGGGACAAGGATGTTACTGTCAAGAGCAGACATTGCAGGACCTTTGGAGACCCCCACGTTCTTCCCCATACCCTGCTCTGTGATCCTCCACCCCCTGCCATCTTTCTCCGAGTCCTGTCACTGCCACAACAGCTGACAGGGACAGCAGGGCCAGTGCCCTGCACACTCTGATAACTCCCCAAAGGTGAAGCAGGGCTGGAGAAAGGCCCCCTGGACCACAGCCTCCTCCCACTCTCAATAAAACATGTGCCCAACAGGCTCTGGCTGAGTGTCATTACCTGTGGCTGTTGCAAATGAAGTCAGTGGGCAAGGCCTTCCTGGTGGGGGCCCAGGTGATGAGAGGTGGGGGCCAGCTACCTGGGACTCCCTCCCAAGCCAAGGATACAGAGGTGGTTCCCTTGGTTGGGGGAGGAGGAGTTTTCTGCTTGGCTGGAACCTCGGGGTGGAGTCTTTCCCAGGATTGGCTCATCCAATCCTAGGACTCCGTGCTCCCCCTCCTTCCATCCTTCCTCCCTCTGCATGTCTGAAACTCTATCCTTCCTCTCATGACACTCATTGTATGTTTGGGACCCAGAGCCTTGACCCAACAGCTCACAAGCATGTGTAAGTGATGCTTCCAGAGACTGGCTGGGCGGGTGACAGCAGGAAGCAGCACCCTTCCTCTCACCACTGCCCTCTGACCTGTGCACTGACCCACAGCCCAATCTGGGCAACATCTAAGCAGAAGGAAGCCCATCTCGTTTCCACAGAGTCAAAGTCGAGGCTGATCCCGTCCCATGGTTCAGTCTCTTATTCCACTCAGAGCACCTCCTGACCCAGGCAGAGCTCGTGGGGGAATATTTGGCGGCTCCTGGTGCCTCATTGACTGTAGGCACCCAGTGAGACTACAAGAAGGGCCAGCAGGGCTTCCTGGCTGTGGCCTCTCTCACTGGGATTGGCGCCCTCTGCTGGAGGAGAGCCATGCTGCTTCTCCCGTCCTCTGTGGGAGTGGCCTCGGTTGCCAGAAAGCTCACGGGTTCTGTGTGGGCTGAGATGAGTCTGATGTGGTTCTGGAAGCTCCCCGTTACCAGTCCTGCAGTTGCCCCATTCCCCCTTATGTTGGAGATCCAGTTCTGGGGACAATAGAGAAAGAGAAGTCAGCACGAAGCCCCCTTTCCTCTCTGAGGGCAGGGTGGTCCAGTTCCTTGGCAGCTGGGTCCCTGGGGGTGGGCGTGCTCACAGGGGGCAGTCCTGCAACAGCAGCCCCTGCTGGTAGGGTCAGTTAACACAGGGGCCCTGGGAGCCGACACAGCCCCATAGTGCGTGTCAGTGCTCATGAGGACACTGGGGGCAGGGCGGGGTTGTGAATATGGCTTACTCCCTTTGCCTGGACTCCGGCGGTGCCCCTGCTGACCTCGGTGCTGTAGAGATGAGAACCTAGTTGAGGCCATGCCCCTCCTCCAGGGCAAAAGCCATCCCTGTCACTATTCACCTCCCCCACCCCAGGAAGGTGACAGGTCTACACACTCCGGATGCCCTGTGTCCTTGTCTGGTGCCTGCGGGACCAGAGGCTCCACCCCACCCCCACCCGGACCTGAGCATCTCTGCCCAGAGGACCCCCTCCTGGCCCTTCCTCCTCCCACATCCATCTCCCCCCATGCTGAGAATGGACAGCAGAGGGGCCTATGCCCCGGGGACCCCGAGGCCCCCTAACTGAGTGATGGGATAGACAGTCTCTCCATTCCTTGTCCCCTGTGCCTTCTTTCATGTGATCACAGCACCACATGCTCCACCACGGGGACATGAAATCTCAAGTATCTCAGGGGTTCCACAAAGAGGGAGGAGGGTGCAGGAGTGAAGGGCCCTTGCTGTGACCCTGCAGTGTTCCCGAGGCCCCGGGACCGAGTGCTTGTTTGGGAGGAGGGGGGAGTAGGAGCAGACCTCACAGAGCTTGTCTCGGTCGCAGAGAGGAAGGTGACGTGGTTTCCCTTCCCAGGCAGAGGCTGCAGGCAGAGTGCAGATCCGCCGTGTCTCCATCTCCCGTCCATGGCACACAGCACCCACCAGCAGCCTGGGCCCAGGGGCACAGCAGGGAGGTCCGGGCCAGCAGGCCATGGAGCCCTCAGGTGAACAGCCATCCCCATAGGGCCACGCCCCATTCCTGGGTAGTTCACATCCTACGGGAATGACTGAAAACCCCAAACCAAAGCAACAACCCAGACAAGTTGTGGGAAGACATCAAGGACGCCATACATGAAGAGAGCAAAGGGGCATTAAAAAGACAGAAATGACCAAAGTGGGTGTCAGAAGAGATGCTCAAACTTGCTCTTGAATGGAGAGTAGCTCAAGTGAATGGAAGAAATGACAAGATAACAGAGCTGAACAGATTTCAAAGAGCAGCTCGAGAAGACAAAGTCAATTATTATAATGAATTGTGCAAAGACCTGAAGTTAGGAAACCAAAAGGGAAGAACATGCCGGGCATTTCTCAAGCTGACAGAACTGAAGAGAAAATTCAAGGCTTGAGTTGCAATATCGAAGGATTCTATGGGCAAAATCGAGCCACGTGGGAAGCAAGAAAGAGATGGAAGGAACGCACAGAGTCACTGCACTGAAAAGATTTGGTCAATGTTCAGTCATTTCAGGGGGTGATATACGATCAGGAACAGATGGTACTGAAGGAAGAAGTTGAAGCTGCACTGAAGGCGTTGGTGAAAAACAAAACAAAACAACAACAACAAAAACAGTCAAAAGCACCAAACTCACTGCTGTCAACTCAGACCCGACTCATAGCAGCCCCTCCTTGGGTTTCTGAGGCAGTATCACCATGGCAGTAGATTGCCCAACCTTCCCTCCGAGGAGTGGCTGGTGGGTTTGAACCACCAGCCTTCTGGTTAGCAGTCAAGTGACTTAGGCACTGGGCTACGAGAGCTGCTGGTGAAAAACAAGGCTCAGGAATTGATGGAATGCCCACTGAGATGTTTCCACAATTGGATGCAGTGGTGGAAGGGCTCACTTGCTTATGTCAACTGACTGGAGTTCATATTGTGCCCAATCCGTGGAAAGGTGACCCAACTAAATGTTTTATATATATAATTGAACTTTTTTTATATTGTGATTTGCAAAAAGGTCAAGGAGGCCACATGTTCTGAGCTCCTCTAATCCCACAAGAGGAAGACAGAAGCACCATGAATAGCCCAAAGCTTAATTGTGCTAGGCCAGACATGCTGCCTTCCTCCAGCCCCTTCTCCAACCGTTCTTCCCAAAGCCCCCACCACCTCTCTCTTGGGTTCGATAATTCGCTGCAGTG